TGAGAATCAATCAATAATTAATCTAGACAAAATCATGGAACCAAAACCGTTATAACTATGTTCAGTCAATTTAGCTCCATCAGGATAGACCCAAACCATTGGTTCAGCCCTAGTTTTTGTTAAATAAATAAATAATAAATAAAAGTCTATTGGGATGGGACTAGTATAGGCTATCTCAAACCAAACCCAACCTGTTGGCAACACTAAATATTGGGCTCAAGGGGAGAGAATAATTTGTTAGTAAATTATTTCTAAATAAATAAAAATTTAGTAAAATAAATAAATAAATATTTATTGAAATCTATCTCTTAATGTCACATCTCTTTTATTCTATTGATTTATTTTATTAAAATAAATAATTCATTTAATTTTATTAAATAAATAAATGTTTAGATAATAATAAATGAATAAATAAAAGTTGAGATAGAAAATAGGAGAGAGAGACTTGAGAAAGAAGAGGAATGACATTTTATTTATAGGATGTCATAATCGTAAATAATTGTATGTGGCACTATTTTTCGAATGCCATTGAATCAATTACATGAGGAGATTTGTCTTATATGTGGCATTGTTGTAATTTTTGAGTATTATAGAGGTAATTATATAGAGAGATTTGTCTTATATGTGACATTTTTGTAATTTTTCAGACAAAGAGAAGTGAGATAAAAGAGAGAATAAAGAAAAGAAGGGAGAGAGAGACATGTGTCAATAATTTAGAGAACAAAAAACATATAAGTATCTGGTTTTAAACCTTTTTCTCTCGTTATTTCTATTCCTTTTGCAACAAAAAAATTATGTCCATTTGAATAAATTTTTTGATTTAAGAATGTAAAACTGTGTTTTAAAATATAAAAGAAAGGGGAAAAAAACCATCTTGTAGGCCCATTGTTCATTTAAATAGGAAAAAAAAACTATCTGAATTTTTAATTCTAATTTGAATAGGGAAAATTGTTTTTTTTTATTAGGTCGGGCCGGGCTCGGGCTCGGGCCTAGCATATTTCCCTTAATGACAAGTGAAAGCCCGGCCTGGCCCATGAACAAGTCTATTCATGATATGCTCTGGATCGATATACACGAATGCAACAAAAAATATATGATATACAAAATTTTACAAGTATATTACACTAGAAATAAGGTTGAAATAACTATAAATAATGTATAATCACATTAGAAATTTATACTCTGATAATATATATAATGGGTTTGACTATGATATGAAAAAGATATAATAACAAAAAAACAATTGACCAATAAACTAAAATCATAAACACGATAACAAATAAGGTGTTATTTATCAAAATTTATGGGTGGGTTTTGATTGGTCAAAATTCTTTCCATATCATATCTTTTCTGTATCATAGATTTCCCCCAACACAATACACCTTCATATTATGTTGATATTTCAAACCTTGGTGTGCCTTTGCCAAAGTTTAATGCCCAATTCTCCATCCCCACTCAAAAATGGGGGGAAAAATCTCCAAAGGGAAAGATGCATATTCCAACATCTTTGTAAGCTTTGCTATACTAGTTCTAGAGACTGATAAACCTAGTATTTGTTTGGGAGGTCTTTCACACAATGACTTTTTGGCTACATCCATGACTATGATAAACCTAGTGCTTGTTTGGGAGGTCTTTTATACAATGACTCTTTCGCTTTGTAGACATTCTAAATGTTGTTTTTGTCAACCAAATATTTGGAAGGAAAATTCCCGATTAATACCCTATACTTTGTGCCTAATGCCACTTGGGTCCCCAAACTTTAAAATGTTCAGTACCCAAACTTACAAACATGCCAATTTAGTATCTATTGTTAACCAACTGTTAAGTGACATTTGAAAAAGACACAAATGCCCTTTGAGTGTCATCTAATTTTCTTATCAACCATTCAAACGTTGACAAAAAATGAACAGCCCCAAATTCTTGCCACTTCTATTCAATAAAGTTGAGGTCACCAGGTCCAGAATGCCCATTGAGACGCGACCCCAATTTCCTTGAATAGAAGAGAAAAGGATTTGAGATTGTTCACTTTTTTAATAAACATTTTGATGGTTAATAAAGAAAATTAGATGACACTCAGAGAACATTTGTATCTTTTCAAATGTCATTTAACAACTAGTTAACAATAGGTATTAGATTGGCACTGATGATGCGCGACTTAGCTGCTCCCTGCTGGAGGTGATCTGGCTTCTAGGCGGACGGCGAACAGTTGATCTGCAAGAGGATCAGAGAACCCGGGGTTGCTAGCCCGGCGAGGTCGCTCCGATGCTTAAGTCAGTATACTAGTTGCGAGCTAAAGATAGCTTAAGAATTCAGAGAGCTAGAGAGCATATAAATCACGCGTCATCATTTGGCGCCGTTTGTGGGAAACGCGACAAAAAGCCTTTCTCCACCAACAAACACAATCAAATCCATGGCTTCCTCTAACAGCGCCGGAGAAAATGACATGAACGTCTCTGGGGGGCAGCCTCAGTTCCCTTCTATTTGCATTGGTCAGTTCACCATCCTGCTTACCGCAGCTGGGGTTCCAATGCTGACCGTGCCCCAAGCGACCACACAAGTGAACGCGCCACTCCCTCCTGTAGTCGGTGCGATGTTCGCTGAACCGTCTGTGGTTCCCTCTGGAGCCGGACAGTCCCAACTCGACGACCTGGTACACTGTGTTCGGGCCATTCAGGTTCAAATGCAGTAGGTCCAGCAGTATCAACTATACCAACAGCAAGTACTTCATCAGTTTTATCAGCAACAATACCAGTAGCAGTTTCCTCCGCTACAGCAGAATCAACAGCCGGTTCCACCTCGGCACCTGGCAGCGCAACAGAATCTGTCCCGTCGCCAGAACACTCGCCCTCCTCGCCGGGGAGAGACTTCCTAGGTTCCACATCCTCTTGGGAGCTAGGTCTCATCCCGCGGTAGGAGGGACAGACAAGTTACTCCTCCTGCTTCGCAAAACGTGAACAGATTGGGAGACACTCAGCCTGCCAGAGCCATTTCACCCTGGCCTTCGCATCATGAAGGTTCGCTTGTAGGGAACCGGTTCGGGGTTCTAGCCGTAGACTCCAGGCGAGGATCTTCTGTTCACAGCAGGCAGCATCAGCAGTCCGAGCCACTCTGTGCCAGGACGGTACCTGACCACACGGAGGTCAGCAACACTAATGCGGAGCCGGTCAGGAAGCAACAACAAAAGCGTCGCAAGGCACGACGAACTACAGTTCGCAGCCAGCTCGCCGTTCCCAGGCAACCAGAACAAGTGAAAGGTAAAGAGGAGGCGAGCTCAGCGGCCACAAAGACTACTACACTCCTGTTAGGGTCGTCTCCTTTGTCTTCTGAGCTCCTGGCGGCCTCTATGCCTAAAGACTTTAAAATGCCTCCGCTGGACAAGTACGACGGATCGTTCGATCCAAATGATCACGTGGACTCATTCTAGTCCCAGATGCATCTAACTGGGGTTGACGAGTCCTGCATGTGCGTAGCCTTCTCCACGACATTCAAAGGGATAGCTCGCACATGGTACAAGAACCTCATGCCAGGGGCGACCAAAAGCTGGGCGCAGTTCGTGCAGATGTTCACCTCGCACTTCATCACCAACAAGAAGTGCCCGAGGTCTCAAATAAGCCTCCTCAACATAGTTCAAAGAGAAGGGAAATCGATCCGAAGCTACATAAAACGCTTCAACGACACCTGTTTACAGATTCCTGACCTGGATCCCGCTGTAAGACTCACGGCAGCAAAAAGAGGAATTACTCACAAGGAATTCAAGTGACACATAGTAGCCAACAAGCCCAAGGACATCACTGAATTCCTCAAGCTCGCCGACCAGTTCATCGAGACAGAAGAGGAGATGAACCAAAAGAACGAAAATCCAGCGGAGAAGAGAAAAAGAGAAGATGACAAGTCGAACAATAGTGGCAACAAACGAAGAAAAAGTAAATCCCCAACCAGGGGAGGAAACAAATCAGATCACCTCTAGCAGGGAACAGTTAAGTCGCACATCATCAGGCACGTTTTAAAGCACTGGTACTGAATTATCGCATTTTGATAAAGCGACTGAATTGATCAAAGCTTCAACCCTCTAAGAGTACTTTTACAAAAGAAAAGAAAAATGAGAAAAAGCTCTAAAAAACATTAAAATATGCTGCAAATGCACGCATGCATGTATAACAAGCTAACTAATCATAAATGAATACACTTTGTGTTCTCTACACATGAAACCCACATGCTAATTGAGTTGAGTTCGAATTAAGTGCAACTTGGTTCGTAAAACTTAGTTCTAATCGAACTTATATTATATATAATATTTCTAACTTTTCATATATATGTATATAACCTATTATACTTTATATGCATAATTTTTATTTTTATATAAAACTTGGTTTAGTATCGAACTCAATAAACCAAGTTTTAGGCCATGTTCGGGAGTGCTTATTTAAAATAAATGCTTATTTGGGTCATTAAACACTTATTGGTATTTGGGAAATAAACTCAAAATAAGAGCTTATATTTTAACCTCAAATTTCTAGTTTTTTTTTCAAGTGTTTATACAATTTTTTTCTTCCAAAATTATCCCTAGTTGAATTTTAAAATACCATTCATAAAATTTTATAAAAGCACTTTTATGAAAGCACTTTTATAAAAATACTTTTATGAAAGCAGTTTTATAAAAGCACTTTTGTAAAAGTACTTTTATGAAAGCATTTTTACAAAAGCATTTTAAGTGATTTCTTTTATAAAAATGCTTTCATAAAAGTAATTTCTTAAAAGTGATTTCAAATGATATATTTTGAAAATTTAAAAGAAAATGAAGAACAAAATAGCCACAAATGCTTATTTAAGTGCTTATTAGAGAAAAAGACTATAAACGCCAAATATAAAACAAGTGCTTATTCACTTGAAAAAATTGGATGTCAAATATAAATAATAAACACTTATTCGATAAGCACTTAATTTTAACTTGAACACTACCAAACATATCCCTATTACAAGAATTTATGAATCGAGTAGAATTCAAAACCCATCTTTTTGTTTTAAATCGTGCATAAACGTAAACTCAGCCACATCCACCCATAACTATTCAACTAGCTCTTCAGAAAAATTCATTACGTGTATATCCTGGGGCACTCGGTCCAACATGGAAAAGCAGGTCTGCAGAGGACGAATGCTACACGTAAGCAGCAATAAAGTGTTGAGGGACGGAGAGTCCCAGTTCCCAGAGATGAATGAATGAACTATGAAGAAGCTCGACGCGTAGTCAGCCACCCAGGTGGGGAGTACGCATTGGAGCCGTGCCACGTTATTCTTTCTCACTCATCAGTTCCCTCCTCTTCTTAAAAATTCAGTTTGCGCGCGAGATCTCTCCCTCCTGGGAGAAGGAGAGATTTTCATCTTTTTTCATCGTCGTCGTCGTCAACCGTCATCATTATCTTTTGTTACTCCTGCTCCTGCCTTGGAAGTTCAGATAGATGTAGGGCGAGAGTCGAGAGAGTGTTGGGAGATGAGAGCTTGACTACTGATGGAGACAACGTTGACTCAACGAGAACCAGAGAGAGGATAGTGCCGGCCCGGAATTCCCTCAATTTACCAAATTGCCACGTGATTAATTAAGAAACTACCATATATGCCTTTTTGGCTTAAGGATATGGCTCGCATCGGCATCCCTATGGGCTCAAACACTCTGAATGCATTTCCAGGCCTCCAGGTAGTTCCACAAATACTTACGTATATAGAAGCTGAGTTGGACCCACCGACCCATTTATCCTGACCAGATCAGAAACGTAAGCCCAACAATAATTAACAGCTATATAAAATCAATTAATTATGGAGGATTGAAATAATTAATCACAAAAGATCTCTAGATCATTGGATGAGGTCAAATTTGTAATTTAGGAAAATGATTTGAGTACACTTTATGGCAATAATTTTCTGTTTCCTCTCTGAAGAAAAGAAAAAGTAAAAAAAAAACATCGAAAGCTGTTTTGATTTGATTTGAGTGAATCCCTGATGCATACCTCCAGCAAGTAATCAAAATACAGAAGCGGAGAGAGATTTTCATTAGGTGTGATTTCCCCTCTTTATCTCTGCAACCCATCTGATATTCTAATGGGAAAAGGTTTCCACCCAGAAAGGGAAATAATGAGTATTAGTAGAGTGCGGTTCAGCCTCTTCTGGGTTTAGTTGGCTTGGCGCTTGGGCGGGATTACCGGAGGTCAACGCTGGTAAATGAATCGGTGCCGTTGTCTCTCCCCTATCAGTGCCAACTACCAAGTACCAACCCACCTCCTTCGATTCGAACCACCTATGCGGTGGTGAGGTCTTGGTTCGGCCGCTCCTCGACTCAGCAAGTTTGCCCCAGACAAGATTTACAGCTCCGGCAACGCTAGAAAGACTTGAAAAGAAGCAGCTTTTAGTCATTAATGGCGTCGATTAAATGAGCCCCATATTCGCTTCTTTTCTATCCTGTAAGCAAGAAGAGCAACTGTGTAAGAGAACGCGCGTTGGATAGATAAATCAGTGCTCCTTTTAATCTCTCTCTTCACTTATTATTATTAATTATTTTATGCTTGCTTTTCTATTCTCTTTCTCTTTCATCAACCAACCACTAGAAAAGAGAGAGAGAGACAGACAGACAGACAGAGAAAGAGAGATCAAATAGATTGATTAGGTAGGGCGACGGGCATAATTCGGGAAATGGAAAAAAGAGAATCAAAATGGAGCTTCTTCTAGTTCGTTCTTTGTACTTGGGATCTGCACTCAAAGATGAGCCGCAACTGCTGCATTGACGCTCTGGTTTAAGGTAATATAGATTCAGAAGAGAGAGAGAGAGAGGGGACAGATTAAAATAAGCTGCATTTCTGTTTAGCGGTGAGTCCCCAAAACCCTGAAGCTCTTTCAGAGATTCACAGATACATGTGCCTCTAGCTAGTAATGGGATGCATGAGTAAGAATCAAAGATGAAGAAGAGGGAGATGCAGAGCCGTTCATCAACATCGTCGTCATCCAGTGGTCTTATATAGGCATGGCAAATCTTCGAACTGTAATAGAGCTTGCTATCCTCTTCTTACTTTATCAGTCAACGTTCGGGCAGCAGGTGCCGTTGAGTTCCAGCAGCGAGCGGGCTGCCCTGTTTGACTTACGATCGTCATTAGGACTGAGGAGCAAAGACTGGCCGAAGAAAGCCGACCCGTGCTCGGCGTGGGCCGGCGTTCAATGCCAAAACGGTCGGGTCGTCGGGATCAACATATCGGGGTTAAAACGAACCCGCCTTGGTCGTCAGAAACCTCAGTTCTCCGTCGATGGCCTCGCTAACTTGACACTCTTGGCCACTTTCAATTCCTCTGGTTTCTCACTCCCGGGCTCCATCCCCGACTGGTTTGGGCAACGCTTCCGGGCACTCCAAGTGCTTGATCTCCGGTCCTGTTCCATCGTCGGCTCTATTCCTGTGTCGTTGGGAAACTTAACCACCCTCAACTCTCTCTATCTGTCCGACAACAGGATCACCGGCATTATTCCCACAACTCTGGGTCAGTTATCGGGCCTTTTGGTTCTTGATCTCTCGCAGAATTCATTCACTGGTTCCGTTCCTTCCTCTTTCTCCGCTCTCGGCAATCTTACCCTCCTTGACCTTTCTTCGAATTTCCTCACTGGGCCAATACCTCCCGCCCTTGGGACCCTCCCCAAGCTTCGAATTTTGAATCTTTCCAGCAATAGCCTTTCTTCTGCTATACCCGTACAACTTGGTGACCTTTCTCAACTGGTTGACCTTGATCTTAGCGCGAATTCTTTGTCTGGATCATTGCCTTCAGATTTGGTAGGGTTGAGGAGTTTGCAGAGAATGGTGCTTGGGTATAATCTTTTAGTTGGCGCATTACCGGATAATTTATTCTCCAGACTCACTGCGCTCCAATTTTTAGCCCTGAATAACAACAATTTCTCTGGTTTTCTTCCTGATTTGTTGTGGTCAAGGCCAGAACTGCGCTTTCTTGATGTATCCAACAATAACTTCACTGGCATTCTTCCCAACCTCAGCTCAAATGTCAATGCCACCAACGCAGTGTTCAACATTTCTCACAATCGATTTTATGGAACTCTGACTTCCCTACTTAGGAAATTCAGCTTTGTTGATTTGTCCTATAATTATTTCCAAGGGCAAGTTCCAGCTAGTCGGGCTAATGTGTCCCTTGGTGACAATTGCCTTCAGAATGTGCACAATCAGAGGAGTTCGGAGGACTGTGTTTCATTCTATACAAGCAAAGGATTGAGTTTTGATAACTTTGGTGAAGGAAATGTATCAGGGCAACCACAGAAGAGTGACAAGAGGTTGAAATACATACTGGCAGGAGTGTTTGGGGGATTTGGTTTTATTGTGCTCTTGGTGTTTGTGATAATCATGATCCTACGCGCTTGTGGGAGGGATGGCGTGGCTCAAAGAGGGATTGGTGTAGGGCCTATTCCTGCAGGAGGTGATACACCAACTGCTGGGGCCTCTATTAACTTTTCAAATCTGGGAGAAGCGTTTACATATGAGCAGCTGCTCAGGGCCACTGGTGATTTTAGTGACTCAAACTTAATCAAACATGGTCACTCAGGGGATCTCTTCCAAGGTATGCTTGAAGGTGGAATTCTTGTAGTCATCAAGAGGGTTGATGTGCGGTCACTCAAAAAGGATTCCTACATGGTCGAGTTGGATTTGTTTGCTAGGACTTCACACACTAGGTTGATTCCCCTCTTGGGACATTGTTTGGAGCATGAGAATGAGAAGTTCCTGGTTTACAAGTATATGCCCAATGGGGACTTGTCAAGTTCTCTGTTCAGGAAATTCAATTCTGAAGATGACAATCTACAATCTCTGGACTGGATAACCAGACTGAAAATTGCAATAGGAACTGCAGAGGGATTATCCTATCTACATCATGAATGCAGTCCACCTCTTGTCCACAGGTATTCCAGAATTTATTTGTAATTAGTTCCCATCCATGTCCCATTTGTTGTCCTTATGCTTCTTCATCTGCAAACCTGGTGAGTTGGTGTATCATGCATGTTATGGTTATGGTGTAATAGAATCTTTTGCATTTGAGCATGGCATTATGTTAAAGCAGCACTATGCACCAAGCAAATGTAGTTTAGCATCTTCATTGTGTGAACTGTTGGGCATGCCTTGAAGTTTATATTGGTGCTTTGTGCCATGGCATCAAGATTGTTTTGATTGAATGTGAGTGTGCACACATAAACCATAAGATGAATCTTTTTTATTTTTTCATCATCCAAGTTTCTGTTATCCTCTTTTCATGGAGTTTCTTATGTCTTTCTCACACTACCAGAAAGGTGTGTCAGTGAAAAAAACTGGGTCTCTATGTTTTTTGTTGCACTGACACAAGTTCACTTACCAAATGCAAGTTTTAGTGTTGTATAGTAAAGATTTGTTTTAAATGTTAACAAAGCCATGAGCTATTCCAGAATACTGGCTACACATCATGAGTAGGGGTGAATATAATTAGAATGTTGGTAGTAACAGTTTCCTGTAAATTTATAATATTGCTTATCATGGATGAGATTAGCAGTCAGCAAAACTTGGATTGCTATATATTGGAACTTGTGCTTGAATTTGAGGAAAGCCTTATGCGAGGTTGGAGGTGATTTACTGTAACTGAATGTTGGAAAAAGGAGGAATATGGTGCAGGTATGCATCCTGATGAAGCTGCTTGCCTACCAAAGTTGCAGCTTCTTTGATGAGGTTTCACAGAAATGGAAGGAAAAGCCAGAGAAAGGAAAGTGAAGGTAAAGAGAGAGTGAAGGAATTAATGGCATCACCACTAAGAAAGGACTCCTCAAATACAAGGGCTCCAAGATTGCAGAAGCAAACTTTATTCAATACTTAACCTTCAGTAACTTCAAAAGTGAAAGAGAAAATAGCTATTTATGTAGAGGCAAAGGCCTTTTTAAAGAAATTATAATCCAAGCTTGTTTTGATGTCACAAACCTGTGTTTATAATTTGTATTTAATGCTGACCCACTAACATGTTTACATATTTGAAATAATAGTGAAAGGGATTGTTTGTTATCTTGCTTTCAAAAATATTTATCCTTATTACTTCAAGTACTAAACTTTTTTTTTTGGTTGGTGGTTAAAGGGATGTTCAAGCAAGTAGTATCCTTCTTGATGATAAATTTGAAGTGCGGCTTGGAAGCTTGAGTGAGGTTTGTAACCAAGAGGGGGATGCTCACCAAAATGTGGTCACCAGATTCCTGCGGTTGCCACAGTAAGCACTCTAAGAATAGTTTGATTTGGTCAATCATTTTGTATTTGCTACATGCTTGTTGGTTGGATTGCATGTTAGCTTGCACTGCTTGCATTTCTTTGGTTCCTTGGTATGAGGACTTGGTCTTTAGCTGTTCTACCCATTATCTGGTGTTAAGCCTTGATGATGCATCATCTTTTAACCCCTAATGTTTATTCCATGTTTTCTTCTTTAATATTTGATAACTTTTATTAACGAATTAGATGTGTATAGACATTGAAGCTCTAATCAATTGTATACAAAATCTCTATGCCAGAATGCTTTGAAATCCTTGAGAACAATAGCCCAATCCATCAAAAGGGTACTAGCCCACAATAAGACACACCATGGGCCTTCCCTTTGGAGATTTACTTTTTTTTTCCCCTTCTTCGTGGGGGTTACACCATGGGGTTAGGTTAGTCTGTCCCAATTCCCATATCTCTCCAACCTGGGTGAAGGTGGAATCAATCCCAAGTCCCTGCTACAGCCAGCCAGAGACAATTCTAAATGTTTTTTCTTGCTGATATCCAATTACAACTTATATGCATGTGCTTGTGGTTTCATATTCCTCATTGTTAAATTGCATTTGTATCAATATTTAATACTACGAATAGCCCAATCCATCAAAAGATTTCTAACATCTAAAGTAAGACACATCATGGGCCTCTACAATGGAGTGGATATTTACCTTAATTTTGTTTTCTTGATATCCAATTACAACTTACATGTGTGCTTATGGTTTTGTGTATTCTTCATTGCTAATTTGCATTCTGATCAACGTTTTGTACTACACTTTTTCTTTAATTGGTAATTATTGAAATTTTGTTGAGGTACTTGAAAAAACGAGTGTGTGCTATAAGTGACAAGCACCCTAAGACAGAGGCTAGCTTTTGTTACCTAAGTAACCGATATACCCGTTCCTTTCATCTCTATACTAAGGATTCTTTTACAAATATCCCCGAAATGTTTGAGCCCTTCAATCCCCTTGTTTAGCCATCATGTCAACCAATGAATTTGCTGATCTTTTAAACCGAAAAAACAGATAATTATCAAATCTTTTTGCAGATGTTATTTCCTTTATAGCATTTCTGAACTGAAATGCACTGAAATGCACTCTCATGAATGTTTCTTAGCCATCCCATTATCACTTTAGAGTCCCCCTCCACAACTAGATTTTTGAAGTTAAGAGATATGCACAACCTCAATCCCCATAAAGTTGCACACACTTCAGGTCTTGTAGAGTTTCCTGTGCCTATGGGGCCTGAATGGATGACTAGAAAACTTAACCCTCAATTGGAAGATGAAAGATTTTGGTCCTTGGAAACTTCAGGTGATTTCTCAATCAAATCCTTCTTGGAACTTTATCCCTATTGCAGGTTTATCAGAATTTGCTTGCCCTTGGGACAAAATCTGGTGCTCCCACATCCCTTAAAGGTTGCCTTTCTTGTTTAAAAGCAGCCAGCCCATGGGAGGTGTCTAACAGTAGACAGGTTGATAAGAAAAGGAATGGCTCTGTCTAGCCTTCTTTGTTCTTTATGTAATGAAGTTCCAGAATGCACAAACCACCTCTTCATTCACTGCAAATTTTCTTACCAGCTGTGGGCAATGGCAATATCCTACTTTGGTTTACATCTTTGCTTTCCAGAATTTGTGCTTCAGCTTCTGCAAGGTTGGTCAGCTAGGGGTCTGAACAGGAGGGGCAAACTATTGTGGAATACCCTCCTGGCTGCTATCTTCTGATTAATTTGGAAGGAAAAAACTCATCGCATTTTTTACCATAAAGTCTCTAACTTAGAGGAAATTAAAAACAATCTTATAGGTCCTCATTATACATGGGCTTATGTACTTTTGCTTCTTATCAATACAATACAATACTTTGCCTTCTTCAAAAAAAAAATGGTGTTTGAGAATTTGGGCCAGGACTCTGGAAACAAATGAAGACAAAACCTAAAGGGAAAGATGGTCAAGGAAACCAAGAAGATAACGAGAATAACTAGAACTGAGAGAAGAGAAAATGATAACTAGATAGAGGCATATATACACCTTATAAAAATAGATTTTTGTACCCAATATATCATTCACATAAACTTCTAGGAATGAAACTACTTGTAAGGCTACTTTCTCCCAGAAATAATAAATCCTAAACCCAGTGGACTCCAATTTAAAAATTCAAGCAATATATTATTCATATAAACTCCAATAGTTTGGAAGGAGTACAAATACAAATATGTAGAGTACAAAACATTGTATTTTGTATTATTTTTTATGTATTTGTACTGTACATATTTGTATTTGTACTCTTTCCAAACTGAGCCAATGTAACAATTATCATCATGGACTCGTAAACTGTGTGTTTTGATTGTAATTCTCCTGTATCATGAATTCTGTGATCTTGCATCTATTTGATAAGATTTTTTATGATAATAGAATATCGGCATGTTCAAAATGAAAAATGTTGGCCAAAATAGACTTACCTATGCTTGTGCTTGTGCTTCTGCTTCAGTTTAACATGGTTACCTAAACAGCCTCTATTCTTGAGAAAGTTAAAACCTAATAGCACCATACTACATGGTTAACAAAGATTTTTATTTATGCGTGCTTACTAAATCAAAATTTTGAAATATCAATTCATAGCATCAGTTAGAGAAAGTCCAAATACATTGTGATATATAAATATATAGCTGACATAAACCTAGGAAGTGAAATCATGTCCAATCCAGATGACCTAGAATGACCACTTCATTCTTCTGTGGTTAAAGAAAGATAACCTATTCAGAAGACCTCCGTGTGAGTGTTTGTGCACCACATTTTTCTGTGATGTGTTACATTCACTGAAAGAAATTGAATGACTTCCATAGGAAATGCTACTTTTTTATTTCTCACTTCAAAAATATCAAAGTTGCATGTGCACTGCTGGTCCATGTCCATTTATTGTAAACCTGAATGCTTTGTCTCATTTTGTCCTATGAAATGGTTAGTTATAGGTTATGTCCTATTGGAATTTCAATTACTTGCCACATTATATATGCTTTTTTTGGTATTAAATTATATATGCTTCTTGATGTAGATCTTACTGCTTTTAGGTTATCATATCATTTTTTGTTTTTTTCTAATAATAGTATTCTGTTCTTGATGTGCAGGACTTCTGATCAGGGCCTTTCAGGTTTGTACAATTAAATTCCCTTTAAAACACTTCTTAATGTTTCACATCATCTGCTTATTGGGGTGTAAGTTCATAACATGGGTTGGATCTGGAGAGAATCCAGTCAAATCAAGATGCACATTTGAATGGGGAAAACAGATCTGGGTTAGGGTTTCAATCGTAGTCTATCTGATCCATTTATGTACTCAGGTTGGACTCGTGAGAAATATACATGTATGACAGGCTCTTTATGCAATGCATATTTTCAATTGGATCCTTGTTAGATTTGGAGTTGATTTGTTTGGGAATATGGATCTTTATGAGGATCCAAATCCACAAAATAGGGTATTGATCCGAGTTGGATACTGTTTACCTCTCCATCTCATGCTCTACTGTTTGCGGAAAAAGGCCAATCCCAGCTATCTTGGGTCTTAGGAGTGGACTGGATAGGGACCCATCCTTGTTTTTCTCCTCAAAGTGACCACTCTCAGACTCCAAGAATGGCCCTTCATGCTCTACCATGAAGTTCTATGTTGCTCCTGAAAGTCTGAATCTTGACCATCCATAGTCTGCTGCTTGTAGCCAATAGCAAACAAACCATTAATACTTTGATCTGCCCCTAGCTGTTCTAGCCCTTTCAACTTATAACAGATCACTTCTTACTGGTCTTCTCTGCATGTGACCAAACAATCTTGGTCTACTTCATTTTATCACCTATTGGAGATACTCCTAGGTTCCTTAGAATAAGTTCATTTCTGACTCTGCTTTCTAGTGTTCCCACTCATCCATCATGACATTCACATTTCTTCCACTCATTTTTTGGGCATTTTGTTTCTTGATTGTCCAACATTCCACTCCATGCAATGTTATTAACTCAGTGACCTTAGAGCTGTTTTGTTTTTTATTTTTTGAGCAAGTGTAGAAAATAAGAATGTCAATGCATTTTCTCGGAGTCAAACCCAACGAACATTGTTGGCCTTACAACTAAAAAAGGCCATTACCCAATGTTGGTCCCAGCAGCTATCTGGTCTTGGGAGGGGTAGACTGGATAAGGTCTCTCAACCTTTGGCCTTTTGTGTACTAAGTGGCTGTTCTCAGACTCAAACCTGCGTTCTCACACTTGCCAACCCAAGATTTTACCATTACACCAAGTAAATGAGTAATGGTATTCTCCTATCACATTAAGACTTTAGATGCACCCTCCATTTTGCCCATCTTATTCTAATTCTTTGGGTGATATCTTCCACATTTTCTTGTTATGGATTATTGAACCATGATTAAAAAAGGTGAGGTCTATTACAGTCAACTTTGGGTGGTTTCCATACCTTATGGAGTGTCATCCCATTATTGTCAATCTAATTGACCTACAATCAGTTGCATTATGCTAATAGTTTTATTTTCTAGCAGATCAAGTAGGTGTTTGGCATCTATGCCGTTTCCTCAGAAAATGGTGCCACATCAGCACCACATCAGAAATCTGTTTTTTTGGAAAACGGCTGCTGTTTGGTTAGCTGTTTTTTTTTTTTTTTTCCGAAAAATGTTCTCAGACCATGCCTTGGAAATCAGGAAAGGTGTGGTCTGAGAAAACACCCCTTTTGGTGTTTTCCCGTTTTTCTATTGTTGCTAGCAACAGTATGCTGACATGGCATTGAAAAACACTTGTGTGGCATCAACAACAATGGTACCAAATAGAAAATCTGAGGAAACAGCTTACTTATGCAGCACTGTTTTCTGAGAAAATGCCTCAGGAAACGACCGCCCAAATGTTTTGGATATTCAGAATATCGGTTTTGCACTGAAAACCTTCCTTTTTAACTACTAGAACTGATGCCTAATTCCTCTTTTGGTTGAAAATGGGCAGGCTCACCTTCAGCAAGCTGTTCTTATGATGTTTATTGCTTCGGGAAGGTGTTACTTGAACTAGTAACAGGTAAGCTGGGCATCAGCGCATCTGATGAAGCCACAATGAAGGAGTGGTTGGAAAATACGCTGCCCTACATTAGTATATATGAGAAGGAACTTGTGACAAAAATTGTAGATCCGTCTCTTATAGTTGATGAAGACCTGCTGGAGGAGGTGTGGGCTATGGCAATTGTTGCTAGGTCATGCCTTAATCCCAAGCCTTCCAAACGTCCCCTCATGAGGTACATCCTTAAAGCATTGGAGAACCCTTTGAAAGTGGTGAGGGAAGAGAATTATGGCTCTGCACGGTTGAGAACCACATCATCCAGGGGATCATGGAATGCAGCCCTTTTTGGTAGTTGGCGTCACAGCTCATCAGATATAGTGGCCGCTCCAAGCAGCAACAGCAGGGAAGGGATCAGTGGTTTAAAACAGTCCGGGACGGCAGGTTCTCAGGGGAGTGGGCAAGGTAATGGATTTGACCACTCATCTTTTCACAAGAGGCAGTCCAAAGAGATTTTCCCTGAACCTGTTGATGTGCAAGACACAGAGAGACATGGCCAAGACTAGTACTGATTGGGGTTATTGATTTTTCTTTTTGTCAATAATACTGTGGGCTTTTCCATTCTTATGCCTGTTCCATTGTATTTGGATCCCCTGCAATCTTAAGGGTTTGCACTGGGGGTATCCCAATCAATTCTTTGGCTGCTTCAATAGCCATAACGCTTCCTACCATTCAGGTGTGTTGCTGGCAACCCTCAAGGGAAATGTCTACGAGGCAGTGGTTCTTAAGTTGAACAATTCTGGGTTGAGACTTGAGAGAGATGCCAGCCTGCCATATGTGTATTGTGCCAGTGCCATATTTGTATTGTTTCTAAAGTTTGATTTTTTTGGTTCAAGCGAGCATCAATTTTTCTGTATTTGATCATTGTTATTGGTACGTGGAATGTAAATTGTAAAAGGTTTTTTTTTCCCATTGGATTCTCTTATTCTTGGTTTACCCAAATAAATCTAATGTCTGATTATTTTTCTTGTATAGTGTGGTAAAAAAAAAAAAACGCGAAGCTTAAGAAATATAAAATTCTGAAGGTCCCACCGAGATTTGAACTCGGGTTACTGGATTCAGAGTCCAATGTCCTGACCACTAGACCATGGGACCTTTCTGGTGTATCTCTTAGATAGATACTTTTAAATCTTTTATATGAGGATAGGTTATTTGCAAATTCCTACTTCAAAGAATTTCTTCTCAAATGAATTTAACCACTGTGTGCCCTTACCTGATCAACATGTATACCATTTCCTCCTACGTAGACATTGACATTGATGGAAATTGAAATGTAAACTCTGAAACGTCCTAGTTTTTTGTTTTTTTTTGGGGGGAGGCGGGAAAATATATTTATCGTATATAATAGAAAGAGGAAAGAGGGGAGGTGTCCTCACTACATAACTCACATGTGCCTCTCTTATTCTTCTTATTTACACATGCATATTTATTTTTAAATAAAATCATTAAAAATATAACAAGACAAAATTAAAATCTTCATGAGTCTTCATTGTCTCTTATAAAATCCATATTTTCTCTAATAAAATCATTATTCTCTCTCTCTCTCTCTCTCTTACACACACACCTTAATAGTCAGTATTTGTAACATATCCCTTCCCCATTTTCCTTTTAAATCTCAAGTTTTTTTTCTATTTTTTATTAATTTAATGTAGATCTGTTTCATGGGTTCTTTTGGTTCAACAATATAATACAGTAAAAAAACACTTAACATGCGCCTTTGGTTATTTTGGTTATTGATCTCATGTCAAACAAATGTTTTGGCTTTATAGAGCTACAAAACCATGGGGGAAGCCCATCCCCCAAACCCTTAACCCCCCCAACCTTAATGGTAGAGGGATTTGATTCCAGGTCTATGGTACAATTAGCCAAAGAACCTATCAACTAAGTCACTATTAGTTGGTTAAGCAGTTGAATCTCAATAACTAAAAAGGAAAAATATATTTTTCTACTATTTTATACGTAAAGAACTAGAAATATATAAAAGTTTTGGTGAATTACTGTTCATTTTTTCCTTAAAAATAAATTTTAAAAAGCAGCTCGTGCATTGCACGGGTCACTACTAGTTACCTATATATACCTTGAGATGTGAAAAAACTACTTATATTACCTTATGGTTTAAAAAATTACTTATATATCTTAATCATCTTAGAAGGTTAAATTTAACACAATAAAACTTGAAAATGACCAAAATTTCCTTAATAGTTTATTAAATTTCCAAAACATGTCACTCCCTCTTTTATTATTCTTTTTTCCTTCTTTCCTCTCTTCCTTTTTCTCCTTCTACCCTCAATTTTCTGTCGTTGCAAACACCACTAAACGTTCATCAATATATATATATACACTAGCAAGGACCCCATGTGGCGCACATGCTTTGCTAAGTGAAAGTTAAACAATAGAAATACATAAGAGTATATAATTGTTTTATATTTTAACTTTTTAATAACCAGTCTGATCGAACTCAACTCGAGTTGGTTGATTTTCTTATATTTTCCGATTAGCTTTGGTTTAGCAATTTTTCAACCCGACCAAATTAGGTCAATTTTGGTTTGGCCATTTGTAAACCGACAAAAAATGAATCAACCCAACCATAAATAAATAAATAAATAAATATATATATATATAAATCTTTTATATTTTAAATTTAATTTCTTTAATACGAGAAAGTGGAAAAAATCCCATATTTCTTAGTCTAAAATATTTTTCTATCATAAATTTATTTTTTTAATTTAATTTTTTTTAATAATATCATTGTAATTTATTAAATTTAAATTTAATTTTTAAGTTTAAATCTTTTGAACAAACAAACCAAACTGAAAATAGACTCAAACTGATACAACCTGAGTTGATGGGTTTTCACTAATGGTTAATCAGTTTCGGGTGACATACTCTCGACTTGACTAGGTTGATTTGGTTGGCGAAACAACTTGCAACTGAACTGACCCAATCCTTGAACACTCCTAATTTCAGCTAAATTAATAGTCTAATCTTTATTAAATATCAATAGTTTAATCTCCAATAATTATTGAAAATTTATAGAAAAAGTACACAATCATTGAAAATAATGTGCTATTTGGATAGACTTCTACTTTTGTACTTTTAAAAATAACAATTTATAAAGTACATAAAATATTTTTACTTTGGTAATTTTTCTTTCAAAACTGTTTGAATAAAAAATTGAAAAGTATGCTTTCCAAAACAAAATTACCATTTTCTTTTTGACAAAAGCACGTCTGTTTGTACTTCTAGTGATGGTTTCTGGTGGTTTCGGGGGTCTGAGACCGGTGATGGTAATCTAATTCTAGTAGTAGCAAGTAGAGGTAAGGTCGATAGTTTATTGAAGGGTGGTTATACATGTCCACCCATTCATGCGAAAACGAAAGCACAATTTTTCCAAAAGCACTAAGTATAAAAAGCTAACTTCGTGCTTTTGGGTTTTTCATACTTTTAAAAGTATGAAAACAAAAAGTATAAAGTACATAATACAAATACTATGTCGAGTTTTTCGTACTTTTATACTTTCAAAAGTACGAAAGTACTTCATAAAAGCCTATCCAAACAGGGCATAAATTTATGGTGAAAATATAATAGATATCTAATAAAAATACAATAATTACAAAAATACATACATACATACATACATACATATATATATATATATTAAAACAAAGCGGTCAAGAAATTCTCCTTTTTTTGAATTTTTTGTTTTTTTATTCCATGTCAATTTTAAACAACCAATGAGATGCACTTTCCCAATCACCTAAATAATCTATTCTCCTAAAATTTATCCTAAACTACCTCCTCCACTTTCTCCAGAATTATCTCTAATTCCTATTTATTTTCACAATTATTTCTAATTTCGTAGAGAGTTTCTCTCCTAAATTATCTCTAATTTCTATTTATCCTCTCCCCTACTTTTTTATCTATATCCATCTAAAGAAAGTCTGGATTAAAAAAATTAAGAATTATTTAAATATTCTAACAAAATCATATAATAATTTTAAAATATTTATTAAAAACACAAAAAATAATTTTACATTTTTACAAAATATATCACAAAATTATGTACTAACAATTTAAATTCTGTTTTTTCTAGATTATCAACTTAAATGCTTTTCAAGTATCTAATAATATGTAATATATTTAAATAAATAAAATTCGAATAATAAAAAATTTAAATATTTTATAGATTATTTAAATAATTAAATAACTACATATTTATCATAACAATATTTTAAATAGTTAAAATAACGAAATTATCTAATAAATAATTTTATATTTTTACAAAATATATCACCAAATTATGTACTAACAATTTAAATTATGTTTTCCAGATCATCAATTTAAATGTTTTTCGAACATTTAATAATATGTAATAGCTATAAATATATAAAATCAAAATAACAAAAATTTTAAAAATTATTTAAATATTTAAATAACTACATATTTATCATGACTAGGTTTTAAATTGTTAAAAAAACGAAATTATGTAATAAATTTAAAAAATTTCTTTAAAGAAAAAATAATTATAACATAATATTGAAACTAATAATAATTTAATATATTACAGAATTAATAATGAAATTATGTAATAATAGTATAAATTATGATTTTATGGATAATCAAATTCCATAAATAACTAAAATTTTAAAATTTAAATATTTTACATATTATTTAAGTATTTAAATAACTGGGCATTTTAAATAACAAAATATTTAACATAACTAGATTTTAAATGGTTAAAATAAAGAAACTATGTAATAAATTTAAAAATTTTCTAAAAAGTAGAAAAATAATTATAACATAATTCGAGAAAATAACTTTCAAAAAATATTATTTATTAATAATAATTTTAAACTCTTTAGTCTGTATTTATTATATAATTATATATACTAAAATTAATATTTATTGTTTTTTGTGATAAATGTATTTTCAATGATTGTGTATAAATATATTTTGTTTTTTATTTAATAGAAAACTTTCAATAATCATTGGAGATTAAACTATTATTATTGAGAATTTAAATTTAATTTATTGTACTTATTGTATTTTTGTTATAACTTAATAATTATTATTTATTAGATATTAAACTATTATTTAAGATTATACAATTTATTGACTACGTTAATATATTTTTAGTACTTGTTGTATTTTTGTATTTATGTATTTTTTTCATTATCAATATATTTTCAATAATTGTGTATTTTTGCTATAAATTTTCAATAATTATTGGAAATTAAACTATTGTTATTTATTGGATATGAGACTATTAATTTAGCTGAAATTATGAGTGTTCATGAGTTGGTTCGGTTTGATCGTAGGCTATTTGGCCCACTCAAGTTGAATCAATTTGGGACGATTTTTTGGTTTGGTCAGTCGGTTCAAAAGATTTAAATTTAAAAATTAAATTAAATTTTAAATATTATAGTGCAATTATTAAAAAATAAATTTAAAAAATTAGATTTATGATATAAAACATTTTAGACTAAGAAATATGGGAAATTTCCCGCTTTTTCATATTAAAAATTATATTTAAAATAATATATATATATATATATATAGAGAGAGAGAGAGAGAGAGAGAGAAAGTGAGAGAGAGAGAAAGAGAGAGAGAGAGAGAGAGAGAGAGAGAGATATCCATGGCTAGGTCGTACGATTTTGGTTGGTTTACAAATGGCCAAAGTGAAATTGATCCAACTTGGTCGAATTGGGAAATTTTTTAACCAAAGCCAACATAAAATACTAGAAAATCGACCAACTCGGGCCGAGTTGATTGGGTTGGTCGGTTTCATCTGTTTGATGAATAAACCTAATTGAAATTAATTATTGTTATTTTTGTATTATAAAAAATTTATTAAAAGTCGTATATAAAATATGAATAATTATTAATTATTTAAAAAGTTGAAAATATAAAACAATTGTATGCTCTTATGTGATTCTATTAAGGTCATTTACTAGAACACATCTTATAGTTTTATAAATTTACTTAAACCTACCTTATAGTTTTCATTTTATGAAAACATCCCATATATTTTACAACTTATTTACTTAATCAACCTTTCACTAAAGAGTGTTTATTTTGCCATTAGGCCCATGATTTTTTTATTCCAAAAATACCCACAACACTTTTTTTGTACAGAAAACAAAATTAACCAAATATAGCGAATAGAGTGGTTTCTCATGTCTTATAAAGGGCAAAAATGGTATTTTTATTTTCTTTTGATTGAATTTATTTAAATGACCATTAGGGTCAACACTATCATTTTCCACTATCAACTAATGGAAGATTGATTAAATACATTACAAATTATAAGTGGTGTTTTAGTAAAATTTTAACTATATGGTAGACTTTAGTAAATTCATGAAACTATAAGGGTATTTAGTAAATGACCCTTTCTATTATTAAGCATTCGCTTTAATAAATCCTGTGCATTGCATGGGTCCCCACTAGTAAATACTAAAAATATATTAAATTAATCAGTAAATTGTGTAATCTCAAATAATAGTTTAATAGCTAATAAATATTAATCTATAAATTATAAAAAAATATATAATTACTAAAAATAAATTTATAACAAAAATACAGTAAATACGGTAAATTAAATTTCAAAAGTTAAATAATACTTTTTAATCTCCAATAATTATTGATATTTTTTGTTAAATAAAAAAATGGATTTATAAATAATTATTGAAAATATATTTATCAAAAAATATAATAAATATTAATTTTAGTATATATAAATATATAATGAATATACACTATTAATTTTTTAAAGTTATTTTCTATAATTATTAATTGATATAAGTGAAATTAGTTATTTACAATATTATTTAGTTTTTTAAATAATATTGTTATTTAAATTTTTAAAATATGAATTATTTATTGAATTTAATAATTTGTAATATTATGACCAGTAGTATTATTACATAATTTGTTACTAATTTTGTAAAATATTTAATTATTATTAATATGAATATTATGAAATCTATTAAATTATTTTTCTACTTTAAGAAATTTCTTAGATTTATGACATAATTTCGTTATTTTAACTATTTAAAATATAGTCATAGTAAATATTTCGTTATTTAACAATTTCATGATGAATTTTGTAAAAATATAGAATTATCAATAATATGAATATTATTAAATCTAGGGTAAAATACAAAAACCTCCCCTAAAGTTTCTAACAATTATAAAAATCTCCCCTATAGTTTCATTTTAGCAAAAACCTCTCCTCTATTTTTGATAAAATCAACAAATATCTCCCTTCTGTCAATAACCAAGGCGGAAAATGTTAAAAAGATGATATTTTTTCAAATACCTATTTTACCCTTTCTGAACATTGTTCATCTTCTTCCCCATTCAAACCCAGCAGAGGTAGTGGCGGCACTCCTCTAAATCCGATCTCTTCCTCTTCTCTCATCTTCTTCGGCTTCTTGTTCTTTTCCGTTCTTCTTCTTTTTCTCCTTCTTTTCTTCTTCTTCTTCCTCTGCTTCTTCTTCTTCTTTTGGCATTGTCCCCTTCCATTGCCCCTGTTTTCTACCACCGCCCTTGCAACTCTCAACAGCGGCGGTGCTTCATACGAAGCATCTCCCTTTCTGCCATTCTCTCCCTCTCAATCTCTCTTTCCTATTCCCCCTCTCCCCCTCAACATAAATCAATCGAAAAGGCACTATTCCTCCCCTTCCCCATTCAAACCCAGAAGCGGAGCGGCGGTGGCGACACCCCTCTCAGCCACTCCCTTCCTCCCTCTCTCCCTTTCTCTCATTTTCATCTTCTTCTTCTAGTCAGTTGGAAATACCCCCTGTTCATCGCCTTCCATTTGAGACCGAGCGGAGCAACGGTGACAGCAGTAGCAGAATTATGAGTGACAACACGCCCAGTTTGTCGTTATTGTTCTGGATTCCATCGCTGAAGGTGCTTGCATACACGTAAAGTGGAGATGTCCCTATGTTCCCATACACCACTCCTATGCTCTGGAATGCCAGATTCAACGTCGTTCTCTAATCCATCTGTTATATATAATTATATATAGCACACACGGTTAGTCAATCAGCAGAAATTTGTATTTTTTCAGCCCAAAAACAGAGATTAACAAAGAAAAAAATAGATGAATTACTCTCAGACCTTCGTAGTGTGGTTCATCCAACCATTTGAAACTCTCCCAGCCTCCAAGTGGAGCAAGTCTACACGGCGAAGCTTCGCCCATGACAACTTCTGGTCTTGCATAGTCTTTTCTGGTTCTATAATCTCTATTTCTTCTTCTAGATTAGTTTCATTTTTCTCTCCATTAACTTCTTTCCTCTCATCAGCTGGATCTACCATTATTCTTGCTGTATTTAGTTTCTCTATACCCTTTTTTTTCTGGGCTCAGGTTGTGTTATCATCCTGCCTTCATCTCCTTTTATAGGCAAAAAAAACATAGTTTGAATGCGATATAGGAAAAGGCATTCTATTGGAAATTATTTCCAACTGTCACCGTTGCTCCACTCGGTCTCAAATGGAAGGTAATGAACCGGGGGTATTTCCAACTGACTAGAAGAAGAAGAAAATGAGAGAGAAGGGAGAGAGGGATGAAGGGAGTGGCTGAGAGGGGGTGCCGCTGCCGTTGCTATGCTTCGGGTTCGAACGGGGAAGGGGAGGAATAGTGCCTTTTCGATTGATTCATGTTAAGGGGGAGAGGGGCAATAGGAAAGAGAGATTGAGAGGGAGAGAATGGCGGAAAGGGAGAGGTTTCACATGAAGCACCGCCGCTGCTGAGAGTTGCAATGGCGGTGGTAGAAAACATGGACGATGGAAGGGGACAATGCCAGAAGAAGATAAAGAAGAACGGAAAAGAACAAGAAGCTGAAGAAGATGACGGAAGAGGAAGAGATCGGATTTAGAGGGGTGCCGCCACTGCCTCTGTTTCTGGGTTTGAATGGGGAAGAAGATGACTATGTTCGAGAAAGGGTAAAATAGGTATTTGAAAAAAATTATCATCTCTTTAACGTTTTCCGTCTTGGTTATTGATGGAAGGGAGGTATTTGTTAATTTTATCAAAAATAGAGGGGAGGCTTTTGCCAAAATGAAACTATAGGGGAGGTTTTTATGATTGTTAGAAACTTCAGGGAGGATTTTGTATTATACCCTAAATTTTAGGAGAAGAGATTATTTAGGTTATTGGGAAAGTGCATCTCATTGGTTGGTTCAAAAATGACATGGAATAAAAAAAATAAAAAATTCAAAAAATGGAGAAAATTTCTTGACTGCTTTGTTTTAATATATATACTAGCGGAGGGGGCCCTGCATTGCAGGGGCTCACTCATAAACTATCAGGCTCAAGCTCAATTCGAATTAGAGACTTGAGTTCGAGCTCGAGATCAGCTCGAGTAAAAGCTCGAAAGTTTGAGCTTAATTATCTTTGATTGCAGGTCTCTCAAGCAGCTGAGGTGCCGAGCTGAGACCAAAGCTGACCTAGGCCCATAATTGAGACTATAATAAATCGGGCTTTGGGTGTAAGTGTAACCTGTTAAAGATTTGATTACACTAATTGGCAGGTCTTAAATTAGCTTGGTATTTTCATAACAAACCTATCAACTCTTAGTTTGCTCTCTCTTTGTCAAGAATATATTAATGGGTAACAGCTTACATTTCTCGCGATTGGGATAGACAATTTTTGGGCCCTAATATCAATAAAGATAATCTTTTTAACATAATTATTAATTAGAATAGGCTATTTTTTTAAAAAAATATCAAATAGGGGTAGAAACACTATTCATTTCCTTTCTCTTTATAACCACTGAACAAATCTCCCACAAGATTAATAAATATTGATCAAAGATCTCTACTTTTTGTTCACCCTTGTAGTTGTTGTCTTGCTGCAAGCAAAAATGGCGAAGCCCACTCTTGCGTTTTTGCATTTCGTTATGTGTATCTTACTTCTCCACTTAGCATACTCGTGGACCTCTTCCAATCCCAATTTTAAGGCTTTAATGGCATTCAAAACTGCTTCAAGTACCTCTAACAAGCTTAGTAGCTGGAACCAAACCACCGATTCGTGTACCTGGTATGGTGTTTCATGTATTATTATTCTAAATGCTTTAGAAGAATAACTCATAGCAGCTTTGCTCTGAGATGTGGGGGAGAGAGAGATAGAGAGAGAGAGAGGTGGGGAAGATTTGTTCGGTGGTGTGGGGGAAGGAGATGAACAACGTTTCTACCCTTATTTTATTGATATTAGGACTCAAAAATTACCCTTATCAGTTAGAATCCCAATTTTATACAGGTTGGACTTAGACTTTTGATCCTCTGGTTCAGTTTGGATCTAAGATTTTGAGCTTTTTGTTTTTTGGGTTGAAACTGAGACTAGTCATTAATTAATCCAAACCTGATCCACGGAGTATACACATTCATGTATAGATATATATTAGACACCTAAACTTTGTATGAAAATAATAATATAATCCATAAACTGACAAATCAATCATATTTACATGCTACATATAGCAGTGCATGAACATAACAGGCATTTGTTAACTAAGCAACCTGACCTCTTAAACCTAACAAATATGATTGAAAATCTACATATATAATCAAGTTTTCTAGCCAATCCATGAATAGTGGATTACAACTGGGCAAAAATCAAATTGAATTGTGAGTGTTCTTGTCAAATACAAAGATATAGCTTACCAAATACAAAGGGTTTGGAATGTAACTTACCAAATACAAAGATATATAGCAGATCGCGAGTGTTCTTGTCAATAAATAACCTTCACATCATGGACTCAAGCCTAACTACCTACGTATTGCATGGAGCTCACATCAATTACTAGTATAACAATTTATCCTATGCTTATCATTATCTTTTTGTACTTATATCTCTCTCTCTCTTGTAACTAATCTCTATACATGTATGTATACAATTCAAATCAATAAAGCAAATTGATAGATTCACACCTCAAGCTTGACTAGATCTATTATGGTATCAGAGCCTTTGCTTGGCACATGTTTCCTCTCAGTATATATCTTCCATATATCAACCATTCCAACTAGTGTATCTTGTACCCAAACTCAGGTGAGAGAATTGAAGTACTGCTACACGAACCATCAGGTACCCGTCATAGCCCTATCCAACTTCACGAATTTAGTTTTTGTCAAACTTGACTGACACAATTACCTCCTTTGCTCCTCTAATAAATCCAGGATTCACGATCTGAAGTTGGAGCTTGCCCATGTTCATAAAGGTGATTTTTCTTTCACTGATTACATATAGAAGGTGAAGTCTCTATCTGATGCTCTTATAGCATCGGGCTATGTGATTTTGGACTCTGACTTTTGAACTCACATTCCCGATGTTCAAAGCTCGTTGCTTACTTTTGAAAATTAAAGACACTTGCTTGTCACTCTCTTGTTGGTGATTTCCCATCAACCAATATTGCTAATAGAAAGAGAAACACAGGATCTTCACAACAACATTATACATTCAAACCTCCTCGGTTTCCTCACTCCAATGGTAAGAAGCCTCCTATCAATGGTAATTACGTACAAATTCGTGGATACAATGAACATACACCAGCCACTTGCAGGCATTACTTAGAACTTCTTGGGGTCAAGGAATCTGCCAAGAAAGGATCAGCTCTTACAATTTCCTCAACATCTGCAACCAGTGACTCCACCAGCTGGTATCCAAACTCTAGAGCTTCCAATCATCTTACCGCCAAAATCTAAGCAACCTTTCCATTCATGAGCCCTATCTTGGCTTTGATGAAATTGCTGTTGGTATTGGTTCTCACCTATCTATTTCACAGGTTGGTTATGGTACTTTTCAAACCGATAATGGTTCTTTTATATGTTAAGAACATTTTAAGGGTGCCTACTATTACTAAAAATCTCCTCTTTGTGAGCCAATTTTGCAAGGACAACAACGTTATATTTATACTTGATTCTCTTGTATTTCATGTTAAGGATTGGAAGACGGGGAAGCTTCTCTTTCAAGGACCAATTGAAAATGGGCTTTAATTAATTATAAATTATCCTTAGTTTGCTACGAGTTCTGGGTTGTGCATGTTTTCCAAATCTGCGACCATACAAACGCTCGGAGTTGGAACTTTCCTCTAATGAGTGTGTTTTCATTGGTTATAGCCTCCATCATAAAAGCTATAAGTGTTTGTATACATCTCTAGAAATGTGGTTTTCAATGAAAATAAATTTCCTTTTGCCACTTTTACTGGGTTGTCTATCTCGCCACCATCTACTTCTCCTGGTTTAGCTATTGGACCCCCGTTGGTTATCTCTCCTGAATCAGCAGTGCTCAGTCCTTCATTAACAGCTAAGACTTTACCAGTTTCTCTTCTACTGTCCTCTGTCACCTCACTAGATGATGCTACCACTATGATTCCTAGTACTTCCATCTCCTACCAAGAACCCACCCATTGTATCTACACCCTCGATGTGCTATGGAAACCCGCTCTCAACATGGAATCTTTAAACCAAATCCCTAGTATGATTTTGAAGCTATTAGAGCAAGCTTATCTTGATGGATTCCCTCTCAGATCTGCAACTCACTATAGATAGAGTTCTACTGTGAAACAGAAATAGATTGAATGCTCAAAAGAGAGTTTCTAATGACTTGGTTTATTATCCGCGAGCTTACATGTATATATAGGCTTTTGCAGAGAGTTTGAGTTACATCAAAACAGGATTACATCCGAAGGTGATGAACACAGGAGAGTCTGTGGCGGCTGTGGCTCTTAATGGATTGTATCCTTATCTTGTGAGAGGTTGGCCAGGCTATCTCTATCATGTGAGAAACGTGTCCCACTATCTCACTTACATGCCCCCTCAGGCTCAATGGAGGAACATATGTTCAGCTTGTCTCTGAAAGCAGCAAACCGGGAGTGCGATAGACTCTTAGTGAAAATATCTGCAAATTGATCTTCAGTTGGAAGGTAGAGTATAGAGAGTGCCCGTTGTAAAACAAGATCAAGGATGAAGTGAAAATCGACTTCCACATTAGACCTATTCATGGGCCGGGTGGCCCGACGGGCCGACCCGGCCCAGCCCGGCCCCCGGACGGGCTTGAACACGCAAATGGGCCCGCGGGCTTAACCTCGGGCCAAAAAGCCCGGCCCACAATAAATTCGAGTCGGGCTCGGGATTTGCCGAAATAGCCCGGCCTGAGCCCGGCCCGACCCGACCTATAATTAAAGCTAAAAACCCTAGTCGAATACCCCTCTTTCTTTCACCTCTTTTTTCCAGCCGAACCTTTCTTCTCCACATCCTCCACAGTTCTCAGTCCTCACACTCTCAGGCAGCCACACAACCGGCGAAGCGACGAACGTTCA